GGGGTCAGTGGGGTCGCCAGGAGCGGTCAGTGGGATCTCTGGGGGGTGCTGTGGGGTCACTGTGGGTTTTCTGGGGTCACTGGTGGGGTCTCTGGCGGGTTTGTGGGGTCGCTGGGATCACTGTGGGGTCAGTGGAGTCACTGTGGAGTCTGGGGGAGGCTGTGGGGTTACTCTGAGGGGGGTCACTGGGGTCACTCTGGGGTCAGTGGGGTCACTGGTGTGGGTGTGGGGTCACTGGGGTCACTCTGGGGTCACTGGGGAGGCTGTGGGGTCACTGGGAGGGGCCTATGGGGTCACTCTGGGGTCTCTCTGGGGTCTTTCTGGGGGCCCCTGGGGGGGTCTCTTGGGGCTCTGTAGGGTGTCTGTGGGATGTCTGGGGTTTCTCTGGGGGTCTCTGTGGGGTCTCTGGGTCTGTGAGTGTCCCTGGGGTCCGTGTAGGGTCTCTGGGGGTGTTGTGGGGGTCCCTGGGGTCTGTGGGGGTCCCTGGGGTCTCTGTACGGTCTCTTTGGGGTCTCTGGGGTCCCTGGTCCCTGTGAGGTCTCTGTGGGGTGCTAAAGGGGTCTGTGGGGTTTCTGGGCGGGTCCCTGGGGGGTTCCTGTAGGGTCTCTGGGGTCTCTCCAGGGTCTCTGGGGTCTCTGGGTGTCTCTGGTCTCTGTGGGGTCACTGTGGGGTCTCTGGGGTCTGTGGGATCACTGTGGGGTCTCTGGGGTCATTGGGGTCTCTCTGGGTGTCCCTGGTCCCTGTAGGGTCTTTGAGGTCCCTTTGGGGTCCCTGGGGGTCTCTGGGTTTCTGTGGGGTCTGTGGTGTTTCTGGGGTCCCTTTTGGGTCCCTGGGTGTCCCTGGTCCCTGTGGGGTCCCTATGGGGTCTCTGGGGGTCCCTTTGGGGGTCTCTGTGGGGTCCCTGGTCTCTTTAGGGTCTCCGTGGGGTCTCTGGGGTCCCTTTGGGGTCCCTGGGCATTTCTGGGGTTTCTGTGGGGTCTGTGGTGTTTCTGGGGTCCCTTTGGGGTCTCTGTCGGGTCTCTTTGGGGTCTCTGAGGTCCCTTTGGGGTCTCTGTAGGGTCTCTTTGGGGTCTCTGAGGTCCGTGTGGGGTTCCTGGTCCCTGTGGGGTCTCTGGGTCCCTGTGGGGTTTTTGTGGGGTCTGTGGTGTTTCTGGGGTCCCTTTGGGGTCCCTTTGGGGTCCCTGGGTGTCCCTGGTCCCTGTGGGGTCCCTATGGGGTCTCTGGGGGTCCCTTTGGGGGTCCCTTTGGGGTCCCTGGTCTCTTTAGGGTCTCCGTGAGGTCTCTGGGGTCCCTTTGGGGTCCCTGGGTGTTTCTGGGGTTTCTGTGGGGTCTGTGGTGTTTCTGGGGTCCCTTTGGGGTCCCTGGGCATTTCTGGGGTTTCTGTGGGGTCTGTGGTGTTTCTGGGGTCCCTTTGGGGTCCCTGGGCGTTTCTGGGGTTTCTGTGGGGTCTGTGGTGTTTCTGGGGTCCCTTTGGGGTCTCTGTCGGGTCTCGTTGGGGTCTCTGAGGTCCCTTTGGGGTCTCTGGGGTCCCTTTGGGGTCTCTGGGGGTCTCTGGGTTTCTGTGGGGTCTCTGGGTGTTTTTGGGGTTTCTGTGGGGTCTGTGGTGTTTCTGGGGTCCCTTTGGGGTCCCTGGGTGTCCCTGGTCCCTGTGGGGTCCCTGTGGGGTC